GAAGAGAGGTGCTTTTCTGAACGTTAATACACAGCTGGTGGAGGGGGCGTAGTCGTCGTCACAACGGTATACATACTGTGTATACAAATACACACACACACACACACACACACACACACACACACACACACACACACACACACACACACACACACACACACACACACACACACATATTATGCATATTAGGTCTGGGGAGGAGGGTAGGGGCGACGATGGGAGGAATGGGGTAAGAGTTGTTGGGAGAGGAGGGGGAGAAGGGGGGGTTGAGGAGGGGAAGAGGAAGGGAGGGACGGCCTTGTGTCTTGGGTTGCGTACTGCTGGTGAAAGTAAGTCTGCCACCACCCTCACTAAGGTAATAAGGTTACACACACACACACACACACACACACACACACACACACACACACACACCACACACACACACACACACACACACACACACACACACACACACACACACACGAGGCGGGGCCAGGAGCTGAGTCTCGACCCCTGCAACCACAATTAGGTGAGTTAGGTGAGTACACACACACGTACGTACGTCATATGAACCAACATCTCTCAGTGTTAAAGTATATTTACAGTGCATATAAACCTGTGACCTATATGTAGTCACGTGAGGTTACCCAGTTGTGGTTACAAGAGCAGAGTTATGTTGGTGAAAGAGAGAGTGCATTGGTTATTACAGGTGTAGAGTTAAGTTGTGTTCCGTCTTCAGTATGAGCACCTGAGTGCCCCAGGATGCCACTCACAACAATCGACCACCACACACACACCTAGTTGCTGTTGGGTCGAGTATCACTTGTAAGGTGAATGAGAGTGCCATGGGTAGTTGAGGATAATCATGGTCGACATACATACCTACATGTCACCACAAGAAGAGTCACTTGACAGTGCCAACTCTAGTATGTTATAAACACTGGACACTTACTCTCTCTGAACGTGACTATGTCACTGCTTCTGAACTTGCGTATCATGGCACAAGGAGAGAGCACTGTAACTCCAGTACCTACTGCTGGCTATTATATACTGTGTAAGACACTCCAGTACCTACTGCTGGATGTTATATACCGTGTAAGACACTCCAGTACCTACTGCTGGATGTTATATACCGTGTAAAGCAATCAAGTACCTACTGCTGGAAGTATTTTAGTGTATCTCTGGTCTTCGTGATGTTAATTATAAAAAAATGTTCCCCTTCCAGCCTGCCTCATGACACCCTCTCACCTCCCCTCTGTCACTCTATGCGTCCTACTCTCTTCATCCCTCTCTACTCCTCGTCCCTCCCCTCTCCTCGTCCCTCCCCTCGCCTTTCAATCACCACTCCCCTTTTACTTCTTCCCGTCTACCCCCTCACCCCCCATCCTCCCAGTCACCCCTCCTCCCTATAATCCCATTGCCTGATCACTTCCCGCATTATGACCTTGTCCAGGATAGCCACACTGTCTTGGTGGTGGTGGTAGGTTGGTTGTGGTGGCAGTGGCGGCTGTGGGAGTGGTGGTAGGTTGGTTGTGGTGGCAGTGGCGGCTGTGGGAGTGGTGGTAGGTTGGTTGTGGTGGCAGTGGCGGCTGTGGGAGTGGTGGTAGGTTGGTTGTGGTGGCAGTGGCGGCTGTGTGAGTGTTGGTAGGTTGGTTGTGGTGGCAGTGGCGGCTGTGGGAGTGGTGGTAGGTTGGTTGTGGTGGCAGTGGCGGCTGTGTGAGTGTTGGTAGGTTGGTTGTGGTGGCAGTGGCGGCTGTGGGAGTGATGGTAGTGTTCTCTAATTGTGTTCATGGCAACTTTACTATTCATTGGGTTTGCTATAGGTCTCTCCCGTGGTTCAGGTGCGCGCGTCGTGTGGTACAACTTATCTGAAAGGAAGCAAACCCTTATCTGCCCTCTCTGTGCCACTTTTTATGGGTACTACTACTGCTGCTGCTAGTTCTACAGCTGCTGCTGCTATTAGTGGTGGTGGTGGTGATGGTGGTGCTAGCAGTGGTGGTGGTATTAGCAGCGGTGGTGGTGCTAGCAGTGGTGGCGGTGGTGGTGATGCTGCACCATCGTAGTGACCACTGAGGTGTCCAATGATGGTCTTATCTCACATCTGATTGTAGGAACGGTTGACCTCATTTGTATTCCGCATCCGATCTTCTTTCGTCTTCCCCGAATTTCATAACCTTATACTGTGTGTGTGTGTGTGTGTGTGTGTGTGTGTGTGTGTGTGTGAATCGCATGTTTACACCCCAGAAAAACACCGTTGATATGTTTACATATCAAAACTTTGTATCATAGCACCTGTGTGTTTACATGGGGGTGAGACGTCAGGATATGGCTTGTGTTTAGAGCGCATCTCTCCACATACAGTATCTTGCTGACAAGGTTCACTAAGTGACGAACCACGTACAACGTTCAACGTAAGCATTACCAGGGAATGCACACGCGGGGAGACAGACAGGAAGGTAGACATATAGATGATGGAAGATAGGTAAGAAGGCAGGCAAATATATAGATAGGGAGGCAGACAAATAGGTGGGCAGACATAAATTGTGAAATACATAGGCAGGTAGGTAGATGGAAAGGTACGGAATAAGTGAGCCTTATTTATCTAAGTAGGTCACATCTTACCTTTTGGAGTCTGTGTGTGTGTGTGTGTGTGTGTGTGTGTGTGTGTGTGTGTGGGTGTGTGTGGGTGTGGGTGGGGTGTGTGTGGGTGTGGGTGTGGGTGTGGGGGAAAAAGTGGTATGTGTTCCAGACTTAGGGGTAATTCGATATAACATAAACTTGGCAAATAAAAAAAATGTGTTGTTTCAAGGTCTCGCACACAGCCACATTATATATATGTATTTATGTATGTATGTATGCAGGACAAGCCACGGGGGGGGAGGTGGAAATCTTTAGCTCAAGTACTTTCACACTTCTCAGTGCGTCATCAGGAGCTGTGCAATGTTGCAAAGGGTCAATCTAAGGGTAACCGTGGACGGTGACACCTAGGCTACTCTGAGACCTCTCTCCCTGCTTTGGTTGCTCCCTTGCAACATTGCACAGCTCCTGAGGGACGCACTGAGAAGTGTGAAGTATTTTGAGCTAAAAGATTTCCCCCCCCCCCCTCCCGTGGTTGTCCGGCATAGTTAAGATCCCCCGTCTGCGATTGTTTGTTGTTGTTTTGTGTGTTATATTATAATATATATATATATATATTTTATATTTTTATTATATATATTTTATATTTCGTTCCGAATAGATCAGATTTGCTATTTTGGCTTAAATAGCAACACTCTTCTTGCCGATTAAGGCAAGCGAAAATTTGTTTATGCACTAATTTCGCAAAAATCATTCTGAACCCAACGATAAAAATATATTTCAGTGTTTATTTATTATTAAATTATTGTAAGCTTATCTAAAATATTTTAGTTGGATTAGGCTAAATTAAATTGCGCTTGTTATAATAAGGTTAGGTAAGTTTTCTAAGGTTCTTTTGGTACAAAATTATTAATTTTTACATTAACATAAATGAAAAAATATATCTTTGAACGTATAAGAGAAAATATTAGACAGGACTTAATTTTAAATGAGTTCTTGCTAATTCACCAGTTTTACCTATTCGGCACCACACACGCACCCCCCCCCACACACACACACGTAAAGAAACTAGAGAAAGTGCAAAGGTTTGCAACAAGACTGGTCCCAGAGCTAAGAGGTATGTCCTACGAGGAGAGGTTAAGGGAAATCAACCTTACGACACTGGAGGACAGGAGAGATAGGGGGGACATGATAACGACATACAAAATACTGAGAGGAATTGACAAGGTGGACAAAGACAGGATGTTCCAGAGATGGACACAGTAACAAGGGGACACCGTTGGAAGTTGAAGACACAGATGAATCACAGGGATGTTAGGAAGTATTTCTTCAGCCACAGAGTAGTCAGAAAGTGGAATAGTTTGGGAAGCGATGTAGTGGAGGCAGGATCCATACATAGCTTTAAGCAGAAAGGGATGATAAAGCTCACGGCTCAGGGAGAGTGACCTAGTAGCGATCAGTGAAGAGGCGGTGGCCAGGAGCTTGGACTCGACTCCTGCAACCTCAACTAGGTGAGTTACACACACACACACACACACACACACACACAACCCCACACACACACACACACCACACACACACACAACACACAACACCACACAACACACAACACACACCAATACACACACACACATTTATTATATATATATATATATTATATTATTATTATATATTTATATATAATATTTTATATATATTATATATATATTATTATGTCGTGCCGATATGTAAAAATGGTCAATTAGCAAGAAATCATTTATAATTAGTCCTTTCTGAAATTTTCTCTTATACCTTTAAAAATATATTTTTTTCATTAATGTTAATGTAAAAATTTTTAATTTTGCACCAAAAGAATCTTAGAAAACTTACCTAACCTTATTATAGCAAGAGCAATTTATTTTAGCCTAACCCAACTAAATATATTTTAGATTTGTTTACAATAATTTAATACTAAACAAACCCAGTGAAATATATTTTATTCGTTAGGTTAAGAATGATTTTGGCGAAATTATTGCATACACAAATTTTCACTTGTCCTATGTGGCAAGATGAACGTTGCTATTTAAGCCAAGATCGCAAGTTCTGCCTATTCGGCACGACATATATATATATATATATATATATATATATATATATATATATATATATATATATTATATATATAAATTGTGTGTGTGTGTGTGTGTGTTAATGCCTCCTAACATACAAACAGTTGGAAAAGATTCAGAAAACTCGGTTATATCAGATATTAGAGGAACCACAGTGATAATGCAGTTAAGGGCACTTTGTAAGTAGTCTGGCGCAAGTGGCAGCTATCATGTGTTGACTCACCTGCATAACTGTACCATCCAGATATCATTATTATAAATTATATCATGTATACTTATCTGTTACATATATCGTATCAGCATTGTACAGTGTATCTTGCTTCTCCTCTGCAGTGGACAACGATGGCGGGCGAGTGGTCACACCTCTACACAACGACTCCCACCACCATCACCACCATCACCACCACCACCTCCACGCCAACACTGTGGGAGGCAGGTCACGAGAACAGCTCCTCCACGACCTCCTCTCCTCCGGTCAGCTCCTCCCCCACCTTCAGAACACCAGCCCCATCACCACTAGCGCCGCCACCACCACCACTACCCACAACCACAACACCACCAACCTCAACCACAACACCAGTCTCTACAACGCGGGCTACCAGCCCCATCCGGCAGCGCATGCCGGACACCGGACGGCATACACAACGTCCCAGCCAAACACCTCAAGTAAGTTGCTGAATAGTGTGTGTGCGTGTGTGTGTGTGTATGTATGTGTATGTACTCGCCTAGTTGTACTCACCTAGTTGTGCTTGCGGGGGTCGATTCACAGCTCCTGCCCCCGCCTCTTCACCTGGCCGCTACCCGGTCACTCTTCCCGCTCCGTGAGCTTTATCATACCTCTTCTTAAAGCTATGTATGGATCCTGCCTTCACTACATTTCTACCCAGACTATTCCGCTTCCTGAAAACTTTGTGACTGTAGAAATACTTCCTAACATCCCTGTGGTTCATCTGAGTCTTCAGCTTCCAACTGTGACCCTTCGTTGCTGCGTCCCATCTCTTGAACATCCTGTCTCTGTCCACCTTGTCTCTACCTCTCAGTGTGTGTGTGTGTGTGTGTGTGTGTGTGTGTGTGTGTGTGTGTGTGTGCGTTGTGTGTGTGTGTGTGTGTGTGTGTGTGTGTGTGTGTGTGTGTGTGTGTGTGTGTGTGTGCGTGCGTGCGCGCGTGCGCGCTGTTTCCTGATAAAGACACGTCATGCATCTCCCCATAGATGCATTTTTTATATATAATTGTGTTGTTATTTGGCTGTTATTCACTAGTTAGTGTGACATTCGATCTCATTTCTCTGCCGCTTCTTCTCCATTTTTTCTTCACTCTTGCACTAGACAACCAAAATGCGGATGTAGTATAACTGACTTTGCAAAAGCCTTTAATTAATAAGTCGATCATAGGGTAACCGTGTACAAAATGCGTACAAAACAAATAACTGGAAAAGTGGGCGGATAGATATTGGACTTCGTAATAAATAAAACTCAAAGACTAATAGTGAATACAGTTGTCAGGAGGTGCTACAGCGAAGAGTTGTGTCTGCTGAGGCATGATCATCACCTCACTTCTTTTTCCCGTTCTCATATCTGACATAGACAGCGATATAAACTGTATCATCTATTATGGATTCCACTCTGCTTGAGAGTGGCATCCATAATAGACACGGTGAACCTTCAAGTTTATAAAAACCAAGTCTTCAGTCAGCTACTGATAACAGTATAATGTTCAGTGAGGACAAATGTTGGTTACTACGTTATAGAAAGGACTAAATAAAAACAAGATCGAAGTTCAAGATAAACTCAGTAGAACGTAAGTGAGATGCGAGAGATCTGGAAGTGATGTTAGAAGATCTCTCCTTCTAGGTGCACAACAGTGTTTTTTATCGGAAGCTGCAAGAAAAACGATAGGTGGGAACACTAGAACTTTCAAAACAAGAGCTGCCGAGCGAATAATGACATTCTTCAGATCACTTGATTTTTCTAGGCTGAAGTATTGCTATATACTAGCAAGCCCTTCAAGGCAGGTGACATCATATCACCGTCCACTCACATTCTTCTCATTCTCCAGTGGCAGAATTTCTGTACACCTTGTTTCTGTTCACATTCTCATTCTCTCTCTCTCTCTCTCTCTCTCTCTCTCTCTCTCTCTCTCTCTCTCTCTCTCTCTCTCTCTCTCTCTCTCTCTCTCTCTCTCCCACACACACACTCACGAAGAGATAAGACATCATTTAGCAATTAGGAATTTTTTAGGAATTTGGAGTCTTTCCGAAGGTCATGATCCCTGTGTGAGTCTTCCCACTCTAGATCCCTGTGTGAGTCTTCCCACTCTAGATCCCTGTGTGAGTCTTCCCACTCTAGGTCCCTGTGTGAGTCTTCCCACTCTAGATCCCTGTGTGAGTCTTCCCACTCTAGATCCCTGTGTGAGTCTTCCCACTCTAGATCCCTGTGTGAGTCTTCCCACTCTAGATCCCTGTGTGAGTCTTCCCACTCTAGATCCCTGTGTGAGTCTTCCCACTCTAGATCCCTGTGTGAGTCTTCCCACTCTAGATCCCGTGTGAGTCTTCCCACTCTAGATCCATGTGTGAGTCTTCCCACTCTAGATCCCTGTGTGAGTCTTCCCACTCTAGATCCCTGTGTGAGTCTTCCCACTCTAGATCCCTGTGTGAGTCTTCCCACTCTAGATCCTTGGAGGTTCCTAGGCGAGTCTACTCAGTCACTTCGGTCCCATTAAGATCCCTGCATGAGTCTTCACTACGTAAGTGGTGTCCCTCGGGGATTCCTTGTGCGAGTTTCTGGTCGTGTGTGTTTCTTGGGATTGAGTTGAAGGTTGCGGCGGCGGCGGCGGCGTCACACAGGAAGACTGGAGTAGTGATATGTTGATGGTAGTCACAGCTATTCTCTTATTATTTAATGGTTCTTTGCAATATATAAGATTGGTAGAGTTTGCATAAGCTCCATTCACACCAAGTTTTTAGAAAAGTTAAAATTTTGGATGAGGATTTCTAGTTCTTTGCCACTGCATAAGCTTCTAAGTTTAACCAAGCGCTTAGTTAAACTTAAGCGTGTGTCACGGGAGGGGGGGGAGGTTGTACCACGCAACAGTTCCAGCAGTGGTGGTGAGTGGGTCATTACATCACGTTCAGTGGGTGACACTAAGTTTCCTGCAGTGAGAGTGGCTACTTTACTGGAAAATCCACAACATGGCTACTGATGTGACCTCATATCTACCACAGCCCTTCACTAACACCAACATATGTTGTCCGTGGGAAAACATGCTCTCTGGTGCCTTCCAGTCCGTGGCTTGGTGTTGGTTGAAATGTGTTGTGCTGTATCACAGATCAGCGTCGGGTTTAGGTCAGTGGAAGACAGGTTGTGCGATACCAAACACGAAGCTAAGGTAAATTATTGACCTTGTGGCAACCCAGGTTGTGACGTCATAGAACAGCCTGGATTCTCAAGGGTACGATCGTCTGGAACCACTGGCACACTGCTGCATTGCACCCACATTTACACTCTTTTTTTCATATATCACACTGTTTACCTACAGGATTCATCGGTGCAGCTCCGATTATACGTTGCTAAAGTAGGGCAATTGCAGGGGTCAGTTGGTGATGTTGGGGTTGAGGCGAGCGTGGGCGGGAGCCGCGGCCGCGCCCACGGATCCGGACACGGCGCCTGATCGCAAAGTTACCTATTGATCCACACGAAAATAGCGGCAGTTACGTCACTGGCCGCTGGTGACGCACTTTTTAAAGACGCGAGGAAGAACCGAGGCTGGAAGTGAAGGTTATGCGGGGGCGGTGTTGCTGCTGCCACCACCACCCGCTGCCCCCCACCACCACACTACCACCACCTCTACCACTACACTATCACCACCACCATCACCTCCACTACACTATCACCACCACCAGTACTTCCACCACAGTATCACCACCATCACCACACTTACACAATGATTTGAATGGGTGAATGTAGAACAGTCACATTTCTGAGTGGAAGAATGTTGTAGTGTGTGGAGAATAAGATAAACATTCACTCCAACATGCACCTCAGCGTATCTCAACATATATCTCAGTTTGTTGCATAGTAAGAGTGTGTGCACGTAAAGCCAACCTCGAGCACTTTTAAGTACCTTGTAACCAAGGTTACCTGCAGTCTATTTCAGGGGGTCACCGCCCCCGCTACCCGGTTCAAGACTAGACCTCCTGGTTGCCGTCCCCGGATCGACCAAGCTGTTGGTCCTAACTTAACGTAGTCTAATGTATGCATCATCATTCTAGCTGATGAGGAACTTACCAAGTTACCTCTTGAAGACAGCCATGGGTTGACTGGTAATTACTATTACTCACGAAGGGAGCAGCTTGAAGAGTCTTGGTTCCTTTACACTTATTGAGCTCTCTCTTTGTGTACTCATCTGATTAATATTTGCAGGATTTGCTGCGATTAAATAATGTTAATTAGTAAAGATACTGATATTTGTAGGTCATGATAGTGATACCTGTAGATCATGATAGTGATACCTGTAGATCATGATAGTGATACCTGTAGATCATGATAGTGATACCTGTAGATCATGATAGTGATACCTGTAGATCATGATAGTGATACCTGTAGATCATGATAGTGATACCTGTAGATCATGATAGTGATACCTGTAGATCATGATAGTGATACCTGTAGATCATGATAGTGATACCTGTAGATCATGATAGTGATACCTGTAGATCATGATAGTGATACCTGTAGATCATGATAGTGATACCTGTAGATCATGATAGTGATACCTGTAGATCATGATAGTGATACCTGTAGATCATGATAGTGATACCTGTAGATCATGATAGTGATACCTGTAGATCATGATAGTGATACCTGTAGATCATGATAGTGATGCCTGTAGATCATGATAGTGATGCCTGTAGATCATGATAGTGATACCTGTAGGTCATGATAGTGATACTTGTAGGTCATGATAGTGATACCTGTAGATCATGATAGTGATGCCTGTAGATCATGATAGTGATACCTGTAGGTCATGGTAGTGATACTTGTAGGTTATGATAGTGATACTTATATGTCATGATAGTGATACCTGTAGATCATGATAGTGATACCAGTAGGTCATGATAGTGATACTTGTAGATCATGATAGTGATACCTGTAGGTCATGATAGTGATACTTGTAGGTCATGATAGTGGTACTTGTAGGTCATGATAGTGATACCAGTAGGTCATGATAGTGATACTTATATGTCATGATAGTGATACCTGTAGATCATGATAGTGATACTTGTAGATCATGATAGTGATACCTGTAGGTCATGATAGTGATACTTGTAGGTCATGATAGTGGTACTTGTAGGTCATGATAGTGGTACTTGTAGGTCATGATAGTGATACCTGTAGATCATGATAGTGATGCCTGTAGATCATGATAGTGATACCTGTAGGTCATGATAGTGATACTTATATGTCATGATAGTGATACCTGTAGATCATGATAGTGATACTTGTAGATCATGATAGTGATGCCTGTAGATCATGATAGTGATGCCTGTAGATCATGATAGTGATACCTGTAGATCATGATAGTGATACTTGTAGATCATGATAGTGATACCTGTAGATCATGATAGTGATGCCTGTAGATCATGATAGTGATACCTGTAGATCATGATAGTGATACTTGTAGGTCATGATAGTGATACTTGTAGGTCATGATAGTGATACCTGTAGATCATGATAGTGATGCCTGTAGATCATGATAGTGATACCTGTAGATCATGATAGTGATACTTGTAGGTCATGATAGTGATACTTGTAGGTCATGATAGTGGTACTTGTAGATCATGATAGTGATACTTGTAGGTCATGATAGTGATACTTGTAGGTCATGATAGTGATACTTGTAGGTCATGATAGTGATACTTGTAGGTCATGATAATGATACTTGTAGATCATGATAGTGATACTTGTAGGTCATGATAATGATACTTGTAGATCATGATAGTGATACTTGTAGGTCATGATAGTGGTACTTGTAGATCATGATAGTGATACTTGTAGGTCATGATAGTGATACTTGTAGGTCATGATAGTGGTACTTGTAGATCATGATAGTGATACTTGTAGATCATGATAGTGATACTTGTAGGTCATGATAGTGATACTTGTAGGTCATGATAGTGATACTTGTAGGTCATGATAGTGGTACTTGTAGATCATGATAGTGATACTTGTAGGTCATGATAGTGATACTTGTAGGTCATGATAGTGGTACTTGTAGATCATGATAGTGATACTTGTAGGTCATGATAATGATACTTGTAGATCATGATAGTGATACTTGTAGGTCATGATAGTGATACTTGTAGATCATGGTAGTGATACTTGTAGATCATGGTAGTGATACTTGTAGATCATGATAGTGATACTTGTAGATCATGATAGTGATACTTGTAGATCATGATAGTGATACGTGTACACTGACACAATCAATCATGAGCTTTGCTTCACCATACACGTCATCATAGGAAGCTTTAAATTAGTGTCACTCACCTGTGTGCCAGTAAGTGTTTGTCCCATATGAGTGCCACAGCCCAGTATTCACTCACAAGAGTGCCACAGCCCAGTATTCACTCACAAGAGTGCTACAGCCCAGTATTCACTCACAAGAGTGCCACCGCCCAGTATTCACTCACAAGAGTGCCACCGCCCAGTATTCACTCACAAGAGTGCCACCGCCCAGTATTCACTCGAGTGCCACCGGGTCATTTTCAGGGTCGTGAAGAAAGGAAACTTCGAACAAATCACGAGTTTCGAACAGGTCATGACGTTTCGAACATATTTACCCCCTCCCTTCCCCTCTCCTCCCCTTTGTTTTCCTTCTCATTTTCCCCTTTGTCAGCCCGTTGCTGTGTCCAGGGTTCGTACTCTTTGTACCAAAAAGAGGAAGAGATCTTGGAGCGACCCTAAACGACCCTGACCCCTCCCCCCCCGGAACTGAGATGAGTTCCCCCTTCACCCTCCCACCTTACCTTCCCCCACCGCCCCCCTCCCGCCGCCCGCACTGCGACGCCGCCACCATCACCACCACTGCCGCCACCACCACCACCACCACCACAACCACCACAACCACCACCATCACCACCACTACCATCATCACAGCCACCACCACCACTGTCATCATCATCATCACAGTCACCAACACCATTAGTGATGGTGGTGGTACTAACATTACTACCTAAGTTATCATCAAAATCTCTACCACTAGTGTTATCACTACCTATGGTACCAGTAGTAGTAACTTCTTCTCACAGATCACTAAGTGTGTGTATGTATGTGTATTCACCTATATGTGAGTGTATGGGTTTAATCACAGCTCCTGGCCACTCGTGTGTGTGTTTGTATATAATATATATACCTAGAGTATACTTGGAGAGGGTTTCGGGGGTCAACGCCCCCGCGGCTCGGTCTGTAAACAGGCCTTATGGTGGATCAGGGCCTGATCAACCAGGCTGTTACTGTTGGCCGCACGCAACCCGACGTATGAACCACAGCCCGGCTGATCAAGTACTGACTTTAGGTGCCTGTCCTGCGCCTTCTTGAAGACAGCCAGGGGTCTATTGGTAATCCCCCTTATGTATGCTGGGAGGCAGTTGAACAGTCTTGGGGCCCCTGACCCTTATTATGTCTTATCGTGCTAGTGGCGCCCCTGCGCCACTAGCACGATAAGAGCGAGTACTATGTGTGTGTGTGTGTGTGTGTGTATGTGTGTGTGTGTGTGTGTGTGTGTGTGTGTGTGTGTGTGTGTGTGTGTGTGTGTGTGTGTGTGTGTGTGTGTGTGTGTGTGTGTTGTGTGTGTGTCGTGATTTGTTTCTGTGATAAGGTTGTGTGGTAGCTGCAGGATAGAGTGGTGGTTTGTGGTGTATCCTATAGCAAGCGCTGCGGGTGGGCAAGGTGTGGTATGGTGGTGCAGTGGGTGGGTGGGCTGTGATGCAGTGAATAGGGTGGGTAGGCTGTGATGCAGTGAATAGGGTGGATGGGCTGTGATGTAGTGAGTAGGGTGGTTGGGCTGTGATGTATTGAGTAGGGTGGTTGGGCTGTGATGTAGTGAGTAGGGTGGTTGGGTTGTGATGTAGTGAGTAGGGTGGATGGGCTGTGATGTAGTGAGTAGGGTGGATGGGCTGTGATGTAGTGAGTAGGGTGGTTGGGCTGGAATGTAGTGAGAAGGGTGGGTGGGCTGTGATGTAGTGAGTAGGGTGGATGGGCTGTGATGTAGTGAGTAGGGTGGATGGACTGTGATGTAGTGAGTAGGGTGGTTGGGTTGTGATGTAGTGAGTAGGGTGGTTGGGCTGTGATGTAGTGAGTAGGGTGGTTGGGCTGTGATGTAGTGAGTAGGGTGGTTGGGCTGGAATGTAGGTAGAGTGGGTGATAACGGACAGATGGATGGATGAGGTGGTTTGTGGAAGAGTAGATTAAGTTCCGTGGAATGACAGTAGTAGTAGTGAGAGAGAGAGAGAGAGAGAGAGAGAGAGAGAGAGAGAGAGAGAGAGAGAGAGAGAGAGAGAGAGAGAGCTTGCGAGCGTGCGTGCGTGCGCGCGCGAACAAAATGTATTTGTTACTTGTGTGGAGGCGGCCGTGGGTGAGCACCTAGTCACAAGCAGATTACCGGATGAACACTCGTAGCAAAGTATAGTGAATGTGATGGAGGGAATGAATGATAACTTACGATGTTATGACAGGTGGATAACTGACCAGCTATCCTGTGTCCTCACCACCTGTTTGTGGCAGATGGCATCCTCTCAGAGGCTGGCAGCGTCCTCACTACCTAGTGGATCTCCAGGATGAATACATTCCTCAGTGGCAGTCCCATGACCATTTTACTGCGGAGACCGCGCATCCGAGATCCAGAAAGGCCGCCTCAATTGCTAACTGCAAGAACAGAGGTAAAGTTGTCGGAGGCGACAACTCACTCGCTTATAAATAAAAACTCTGGCAAGCACAGGCTTCCATTCATTCATGGAGTGACTCGCATGGGGAACAAGGTTTCACGCCAAATGCACAAGAGTTATTAATTGAACCGGTCGGATGAAAGTTGTGGCTCACAGGTGACTTCACCTTCACCCTGCACTCTTTTACAAACGTTACTGAACATTAAATAAAATCTTCGTCTTTAACATGCTAATAAAGCAACTTTATTGTGAGCTGAAGGAAGATAACGGCTCTTCGGTTTTAGTTGAAAGACAAATATCGTGGGTGAGACTCTCAACATTGGTGTTGACAATATTGTCTTGTTCACTCAGATCAAACACTCCTTTGCTCTTCTTACCAGCAGCGTCCCGGGTAAACTTATATATAATGTTATAAAGTTCAACTTGTCTTTTATTTATCATGGCAGAAGACAGAATAAGTAAGTCAACATAGGTATGCTTCAGTTTTTCTCATAAGACTTTCTCTTTTCAAGTCTTATATATTTTCATAGGTACTTCCGGTTGATGCCTGAGCCAGCGGTAACCTAGGCAACGAAAAATGTGGAGGAAGGGAGGGGGGTGAAGGGAAGGTTGCCATCGGTCATTCATACCAGGGCTGGTTATTTATAGTTTACCAGCTTATCAGGCTCTCTCTCTCTCTCTCTCTCTCTCTCTCTCTCTCTCTCTCTCTCTCTCTCTCTCTCTCTCTCTCTCTCTAGTTATTTAGAAGACATTTATCACAGTAGTTTCTTGTAATCTCGACCTGAGGAAGGCAGGGCTGGCTAAAAAGGTGTGTGTACTCGCCTATTTGTACTCGCCTATTTGTGGTTGCAGAGGTCGAAACATAGCTCCTGGCCCCGACTCTTCACTGATCGCTGTGTATGTGTGTGTGTGTGTGTGTGAGAGAGAGAGAGAGAGAGAGAGAGAATTTCGAGGGTAGTGGTAGCAGTGTTGAAGGCAGCAGTGGACAGGCACGACGCTTGCAACAAGAATGGTCTACTAGCATTTCTCTCTCTCTTTTTTTTTACTGCCATTGATGTACTTATTTCCCTATGTTTTTCTCTTTGTGTGTTGCAGTGGGCGGGTCCCTGCCTCCCTCCCCCGCGGACTCTGGCGTATCAGACGTGGACTCATCCAGCGGACACACCAGTAATGACGAGTCCAAGACCAGACTACACCTCACAGGTAGGTCTACAGCCTCTCCCTTCAAACTCTCTTTTTTATCTCCCTTGTTCTCTTTATTAACTTTCCTTCACTCCTTTTTTTTATCCAATTTCTCTCGATCTTCCCTTTTCTTGCATTGCTTATTAATGACGAGTCTAAAGACCAGACTTTAAATACATTCTTTCTCGTAAGTCGGGGACCTCGCCACTTACCCCCCTCTCATAAATCAAGTACTATACTTCTTGATTGAACCATCTTTTTAAGTAGAGGACTTCATAACTGATCCATTCATGGGTTCGGGACCCTTGGTGATTTCTTGTAGTTCGAGTCCGGGGACCATTTGAGTGAACGCCCCCCCACCCCCCCGGCCCTCACGAGCCAGAACTACTAAAATGACGCTGGAAAAGGCCAGCACTCTCCTGTCTTCTGTCGTTTAATATATCCTCCACTTAATTTTTTTGCATTGTTTACCTTCCGCCGCCTCATCTTCGGAACACTTCAAAACACCAATTGTAACCCCATTTCATAATAAAACGAAAGACACCTTTTTTAAAAACACACAGAACTTTAAAAGACGACACAAAACAGTTAAAGGGACACAAAAGGGTTTTAAATAGACGACACAAAAAAGATTAATTGCACACAAAATAGGTTAATGGATACCAGGCCATGTTAAAAACGATATTGGGGTTTTGGTTTTGGAAAGCGTGGGTTTGAGGGGGGGGAGGTTGGGGAATGGGGGGGAGGGGGGGTTGAAAAAGGGACTGCTTTTTTAAAGCAAAAATGGCCTGACTGGGGCCTACCCATCTGCCACCCTATCCCTAATGATCCATTGCCATACCCACACACAAAACACACACACCATTCCATTTTTCACTGCACACTTTAAACAGTATTACGTGACTGCTACAACATTAACATTACCATTGTCACTGCACACATTTGACGTATTACTGTCCTGCTAAAACTTTTTGACTTTTCCATTGTCACTGCTACAATTTATGCGTATTCTGTCACGCTACAACTTTTAGACGTATTACTGTCCGCTAAAAAATTTATGAAGATTACGTCACTGCTAAAAACTTTTATGCAGTATTACTGTCACGCTACAAATTATGACATTTATTTGTCACTGCACCAACATTTGCAGTATTACTGTACTGCTAAACATTTTGACGTTTTACGTCATGCTACAAATTAAAATTTTCCATTGCCCTGTCAACGTATGACTTTTTAACTGTCACGCTAAACTTTGACATTTCCTTTTCACTGCTAAAAGTTTTGACAGTTTTACTGTCACTGCTAAAACTTTACATTCCTTGCACTGTCAAATTATGACATTATTACTGTCATGCTAAAAATTTACACATTACCATGTCACTACTACAACTTTATGAATTCCATTGTCACTGCTAAACATTTGCTTTCCTTGTCCGCTACAACTTAGACTTTTTTCTGTACTGCTAATTTTAGACATTCCATTGTCCTGCTACAACATTATGACAGTATTATGACTGTTTAACAACATTATGAATTCCATTGTCTTTTCAAAAATTTTGACGTATTACGTCATGCACAACTTACACATTACCATTTTCACTGCAAACAACGTTATGACGTATTACTGTCACTGCTACAACATTATGCTTTTTCCATTGTCATGCTACAACTTATGCAGTTTACTGTCCGCTATAACTTTTACACATTACCTTGAAACTGTAAAAAACATTAGACTTCCATTGCCCCACTGCACAAACATTATGAATTACCATTGTCCTGCTTTACTTAGGGAAACATTACCATTGTCCTGCTATTTATGAAGAATTACTGTACTGCTACAACATTATGACATTACCATTGTCACTGCTAAAATTTACAGTATTACTGACTGCTACAACATTAGACATTACCATTGTCCTGCTACAACGTTTGACAGTTTTACTGTCACTGCTACAACTTTATGACTTTTATTGTCACGCTACAAATTATGACATTTTTTTCTGTCACTGCTACAACATTATACTTACCATTTCACTGACAACATTATACTTCCCTTTTGCATTGCTAAAAATTTATGCGTATTAGTCAGCTACAACTTTGACATTACCTTGTCACTGTAAACTTTTATGAATTCCCATTGTCACTGCTAAAACGGTCCTCTTCCCCCCCAAACTGCACAGAATGACCCCCTCAGTCAACTGGGGACATGCAAGGTAGCCCAATTGAAACCGGTACGACGGTGCCCCCATTTGCCCCTTTGCCCGGGAGGAGAAAGAGGAAAGAAGGGAGGGGGTAAAGGGGACCTCCAAGTTTTTTTTTGTGGGGGAAACTGGAGTTTTTGGGATAAAGGGAAAAAACGGGGGGACAGACCATTTAACTACTAGTGGTAACCGGGGTAGCCATAGTGGTAGACCAGGTACCCTTTGGGTGGTAGCCCAGGTTACTAGGGGTAGACCGGGTAGTATAGTGGTAACCGGGTAGTCTAGTGGTAACAAGGTAACTCTAGTTTTTAGAAAGTTATATAGTGGTAGACCAGGTAACTACTATATAGACCAGTAACTTAGTGGAGACCAGGTGGCTCAATGGAAACAGTAACTATTAGGGTGAAAAATGCCTAGGGGTGACCGGTGCTACTGCATAAACCAGGTAACTATAGGGTAACCGGTAGCTACTGGGGTTTAGCCGGAAATATAGTGGAGACCAGGTAACTACTGTGACGACCAGGTAACTATAGGGTAGACCAGGTAGTGCTAGTGGAAACCCAGGTAGTACTAGTGGTGACAAGGTAACTCTAGTGGTAGACTTTTAGTACTGGGGTGACCAGGTAACTATAGTGGTAAACCCCACGAAAATGCTATGGTAGACCAGGTGGAAATAGTGGTAAACGGGAAAATTAGGGGTAGCCCAAGTAGTATAGTGGTAACAAGGTAACTACTAGTGGTAGACCAGTTAGCTACTAGGGTAACCAAGTAATTACTATTTGTAGACCGGTGCCTAGTGGTAGACAGGACTACTATGGTAGCCCGGGTAGTATGTGGTAGACCAGGTAAACCATGTGGTAGCCCAGGTAACTTTAGGGTGACCAGTAATAGTGGAAGACCGGGTAGCTACTAGTGGTTAGACCAGGTTTACAGGGGAGCCCGGGTAGCTACTATGGGACCAGGTAACTACATGGTAGACCAGGTAGTATGGGGAAAACCATGCTACTGTGGGACCATTAGCTCTAGGGAGCCCAGGTAACTCTAGTTTTTGCCCGGGTATACGTGGGACCGGGTAACTCCCTAGTGGTAGCCAGGTGCTACTAGTGGTAGACCAGTTAGTACTAGTGGTAGCCCAGGTCTACTAGTGGTAGCCAGGTAGTACTAGTGGTAAAGTTAGCTACTAGGGGTAGACCAGGTAGCTACTAGGGGTAGCCCCATTAGCACTGTATTCACACCTTTTAAGGGGATTATTTTTATTTTTATATTATTATTTATTTTATTTTATTTTTGTTTTAAATGTTTATTCGTTATTTTATCACCATTCAAAATTTTCTTATTTATTAAAAAATTTAGTAAAATTTTTTCTTTTAAAATTTTCACAGTAGTTACACGGGGTTACTCCCGGGTAACCGTGTGACCATAACCACCTGGTGTGACTACCGGGGTAACGTGTTTTTGAGCTCACCACCTGGTAGGGGGACTACCGGAACCTGTGTTGACCTTACCACCGGTAGTGAAACCCCGGTAACCGTGTTGAGCCATCACCACCTGGAGTGACTACCAGGTAACCTTTTTGAGCCCACCTGGTGGATACCAGGTAACCTGTTTTTGACCTCACGGTATTTTGACTACCAGGTAACCTGGTTGAACCACCCACCGGGTTTGTCTACCAGGTAACCTTGTTGAGCCATCACCCCCTGGTGTGACTACCGGTCCCTGTGTTGAGCCATCACCCCCTGGTAGTGATACCGGGTAACCTGTTTTAAACCATCACCGCCGGGTTTAGTGACTCCCAGGTAACCCTGTTTGACCATCACCACCGGGTATGACTCCCAGGAAACCTGTGTTGAACCTCCCGCCTGGTGTGACTACCAGGTAACCTGTGTTAAACCCACCGCTGGTAGTTCCCAGGAAACCTTGTTAAAAACCTCACCGCCTGGTAGGACTCCCAGGAAAACCTGTGTTAAACCCTCACCCCCTGGTAGGACTACCAGGTAACCTGTGTTGAACCACACCGCCCGGGGTACACCCCAAAAATCCCCTGACTGACATTTTTGCCCCTCCCCACCCCCCCCCCCTCCCCCTCCCCCCCCCCCCTCCCCCCCCCCTTTTTTTTTTTCAAACAAATTTGTACAGATTTTTTGTTGTTGTTTTTTTTGAAATGTGTAGTTTTTTTTCTTAAACTTCCAATTCCCGTTTTCAGTTGTAAAATTTAAGGGATATTTGTACCTTTAACAAATCTCTTATTGTTCACTTCCGCTGTGATGTGTTTACCTGTGATGCGTGTTACTGCCTGTGATGCTGTTTCCCTGCCTGGTGCGTTTACCTGGCTGTGTGCGGTGTTCCCTGCCTGTGATGCTGTTTCCGGTGTGAGCTTGTTACCTTGATGCTGTGTTCCCTGGCTGTGATGCTGTTTTCCCTCCCTGTGATGCTTTTGTTACCTGCCTGGGTTTTCTGTGTTCCGGTGTGGCTGTTTTCCCGGCCTGTGTGCTTGTTACCTGGTGGAGCTGTGTTACCTGCCTGTGATGCTGTTTTTTCCCTGCCTGGATGCTGTTTTACCTCCCTGTGATGCGTGTTCCCGGGCGTGATCTGTGTTACCTCCCCTGTGATGCTGGTTACCGGGCGGGAAAGGCTTTTTCCCTTGTGCTGTTTTTACCGGGGCTGTGATGTGTGTTACCTCCGTGTGCTGTTTACCTCCCTGTGATTCTGTGTTCCCCTGGTGGATGCGGGTTTTTAAACCTGCCTGGGGGTTTGCTTTTTTTTACCTGGCGTGTGCTGTGTTACCTCCCTTGATGCTGTGTTCCTGCCTGTGATGCTGTGTTACCGCTGTGATGCTGGTTTTAACCTGGCTGTGATGCTGTGTTATGCCTGTGATGCTGTTTTTACCGGCGTGATGTGTGTTCCTGTGTGCTGTTTCCCTGGCTTGATGTGTGTTACCTGCCTGTGATGCTGGTTACCTGCCTGGATGCTGTGTTACCTGGCTGTGA